GTCGTTGGTGGAAGACCCAGACGAGGTGCCGCCACCCTAAATTGCAAAGGGTGCCAGGTGTCTTCCAATACCAAGAGAAATGCTAGATTAAATTTGAGATTTCTTGCTGAGCTTGCTTTCTCGCAGACAATGTCTACAATTGCAAGTGTTTTCGTTAGATTTCCTGATTCGCCGACTCGTGCCCCACAGTGTTCTGTCATCGTCCTTCTCGGCCCTATATGCTACACCCTATTAAGAAAAGCCTTACAACTGGACACCCCCCCCCCCCCCCCCCCCAAACGGTCCTAACCGTAAAGCCCTCCTTAAATCCCAACCCAAAGCTTTAAGCTTAAACCCAGTGTTAACCTTTTAGGCTTTCTTTCCTGGATCGAAGCCCTATCGGAATCCTTTCGCCCAAGGACTGAAAATCAGGAGCTGCAGAAACGATTCCACAAACCTCTTTAGGGCGAAAGTTCAGCATTTCGGGCTCAATACAAATAGGCACCTTAATGATCGCAAGGGGCCCTACGAATATACTAGGCATCCCGTGTAGGCACTGTAGACTACGAAGCCTTGCTGGAGCCTTTGATGGCGGGGCACGACGTTGCTGAGGTAGCTGCTCTAAGCTGGTGGATGTTGGGTTTTGACGGTTTAGGGTTTACGCCCTCGTGTGGGGGGGCTTCTGTCTGGATGTTGGGATTACAGCCCAGTGTATAGGGTTTTGGATTGTGGAGGTATACTTTGTGGTGTATGGAGTTTAGATCTTCGCAGTTCAATGCTGAGGTCTATATACATACCCTGGGGTGCGGAGCCGCAATTGAAGTTGACAGTTGCAGATCTTGGCTTCGGACAGAGGCTGTTCGGCTCCCTAGTTTGGGATTAAGTAGCACGTGATAACCCCAGATGTAGGGTCGTACATGAAGGCTTTTAGAGCTGGCGGCGCGAGTGTAGGAACTGCGCGGTATCCAAGCCTCTTTTGGCTGCCTCCCGAATCTTCCTGCCGGAGTCGCAAGCCGGACACCACCTGAAACACGAGTTCAGGACCTGGAAACTTTTTTGGCACAACATTAAACCCCAAACGAGTCTTAGACCCAATCTTGTTAGACAGAGGGGGACGGTAGCAGCTTTACAGCAGTCTTGACTGGCGCTTCCCCCAATAAGGAGTCGCTGATGTCACTGCTGCTTAAACGACGCCTGGCATTAATTCTGTATCGAGGGGCGGCTACGGGCTGGTTTCTAGCTTGCCACGGTCGAGTTTGCTCTAGACTCTAGGCTGTGGATCACTGAAGTTATGAGGCCGGTTTAGGGTTAAGGGGTTTCGGGTTNNTTTCAAGTTTGCTGGTGTTTTGTGAAAGCTTAAGATTCCAGCGAGCCGGCACGCACCCAAAGCCCGTGATGAAAGTGTGTGTGTGTAAGTGTGTTTGCCTGTACAGGTCTGTGCAAGCAGGGGTTTAGGGTTTGCGAGTTTTCGTTGCAGGGCTGAGAATATCGTCACTTGCTGTGGCTTTCGATGTCCAGCAAGAACCCT